TTATTTTATTTATTTATTTTTATGGTAATGTTGCTCTAATTTAAAAGTTAAATTTATTTTTCTAATTTAATGATTTGGTAATTTATTAGAATATTTAAGATAAATTTCGGTCTTATGTTTTTTTTTTTTCTTTAAATCATTTACTAATCATCTATTTTACAAATCATTAAATTTAGAAAGTAAACTTTTGTATCATTTTTTTTTGTTAGCAAAATGTTACGTTAGTCATCGGACAAAAAATTTATTTCCAAAACACCCAATCAGATCACTTTTTCTACTTTCTGTACATCTTTTTATAAAAGTCAAAAAATTTATTAAAATAACTTATTTCCAAACACCCTTGTGTCTTTTTTATAAGGGCAAATTATATTTTTAATCATTTACTAATCATCTATTTTACAAATCATTAAATTTAGAAAGTAAACTTTTGTATCATTTTTTTTTGTTAGCAAAATGTTACGTTAGTCATCGGACAAAAAATTTATTTCCAAAACATCCAATCAGATCACTCTTTCTACTTTCTGTACATCTTTTTATAAAAGTCAAAAAACTTATTAAAATAACTTATTTCCAAACACCCTTGTGTCTTTTTTATAAGGGCAAATTATATTTTTGCATTTTTGTATTTTACATTCAATTTGATCTTCAATTTTAGCATTCCTCAAAATAAATAAAATAAATAAAATAAAAATTAAAAAAAATTGCATGATATATAACCATTCTCTTCTAAATATTGATGAATATAGATATATGCTGTCATCTCGATGAAGCACTATTAAACCAAAGGCCCATTGCGTATGGCTCCTACAGAAAATGAGATCGAACAATTTAAATTCATACTATGCTTAATTGATGGTGATATAGACCCAAGAGAAGCCTATTTGGTATGAGTACTGGAATGAAAATTAGGGGAAATTCTATTTGGAATGAACACTACTTACAACTTTTGTAGTTTTTGGTTAGGGGGGTGTTTGGTGTGGATTATTGTAAGTTAAAAACTGATAATCAGAAAGCTGTAAGCAGAAGCACCCTTTCTCTAACTTTTAAATAATCAATTTTTCTCAGCTTATTTAAGCTATTTCTGTCTTAAAAGCTGTAAGCAGAAGCTGTACCAAACAGTCTGGCACAAATTTTTAAATTAAAATAAGCTATAATCACCCCCTATAATCCACACCAAACAACCCCTATGAGATGTTGTGGTGTCAGTTATAACTCAATGTGATATTGATTATGATTTTTTTTTTGGTTATGATCATTAATTATACCTTATGTAGTGTTTAGTTATATCTCATCATTTTTTTATATATAGTTATGACTCCTGTAATATATATATATATATATTTTGTGAGAATCGAGACTACTCATTCATTCTTTTCTGCAACCCTAGCAATTATCAATGATATACACTAGGGATTATAATAGAGAGGTCACCATTATGATAGTGTGTTTATGTGAATCAATGCATATTCATGATAAGTGTACTAATACCACAACCACAAGCAACTATCCTAATGCAAACATCACATGTGAGTTTTTACCTAATAAACCTTTTTTGGTACAAGTTTACTATCTTATCCAATTAACATAGGCTTATATCACCACCCTATTAGCAACAAGTCAACATTAAATGAAGTAATACTTATAAAACTCACAAATGTCATAATTTGCATTATACCAAAAATGATACCAACGCAGAAATAGACACATGATTCACACACAATTTGACAACCAACTCAATGTCAGTGAATTTTGTGTCCAAACTTTGCGATTTGTTTATGTTTCTCTTATAGTAAATCCGTTCTGTTGTTACTCTTTCATTATAATTGCAAAAATTATTCAGTCTCCTTTGTGGCAATGCTGTAAACACATCTCCACAATTAATTTCTGTGTGACCCATGAATTCATTAAAAATTAAGAATGTGCATATATGTTTGTGGCATTACTACGTTAGTGTCACTGAATAATTTTGCTCAATATAATTGAGGAAATTCATAAAAAAAAAATATAAAAAAAAGAGGCTACATTAATATTTGTTAAATTGGTACGACATGGAATTACACTTTGTTCATGTAAGCCCAGACCTTAACATGAACAATGGGATTGCTGTTATTGGGCTCCTCTACAGTATTATTGGTCAACCTGATGCTTTTCTCTCTCGGGTATTAAACCTCGTACCAACTTCTTTCAAGTTTAAATTTAAATTTAAAATAATCTAAGAGGCCTATGAATTATGATTCTTATTTTGAAAATTTGAATTGTTCATTTTGTAATACTCTCAGCATATATCATTCATGAAAAAGATTAAGTCAATTTAATAATTGTTACTTTATTATTTTATAGTTTTTATCTCCAAAAAAAATAGATTACAAGTATGTTTTTATAAAACAGATCACTTATCTAATTTTTTAGAGACAAATACAATAAAATGAAAAGATTGCACCACTCTTTATATTGCTTTTATTTATTTATTTATTAAAGCTTGTAATGAGCTGTTAATTTTGATTCTTGATTTTTTTTTTTTTTTTCAGTTAATGAGTAATATGTCATCCATGACTAATAAAATGGAAAATAGAAACTTGGGAGTGATTGATAAATATTACAGATACATGGGCTCCCTCACAGTTCATCCTTGTACTGAAGGAGTTATTTGGCTCAAGGTAGACTTTCTCACTTGCCCTTTACTCCCAACTTCCCAAGCCATTACTTTTAGCTTTTATCTTCTTCTTTTTTTCTTTTTTTTTTCTTTTATTATTATTAATTTTTTCACTTCATCATATAAATAGATGCGAAATATTCCATAGTATTGTAATTGATAGAGAAAGTGGGTAGGTGGGATATTATATCGGGTGATTGAGAAATATGAGGAGATATAATGAATAATGATTGGTTAGGAAGTATGAATACATGATATTCCAAGAATATTCTATAATTTTTCCACAGGTGACATACATCACTATCAAAGGAAGAACATAAATATATATATATATTAATGGTTTAAATCAGGCCAACAATAATTATCTTTTCTTTTTTCAAAAGAAAGGAAATCTAGGAATGATTAGGATAAGAACTAACCTTCATTTCTGATAAAGATGAAGGGGGAAATTGAGACAAAATAATTACAATTCCATGTAAGGGCAAATTAGTCAAGGAGAGAGTTTTAATCACTCCAAAATAATTGAGAATTTCACAATTAATAAATTAACTATTTGCTATATTTGTAATGGAGTTTGACTAATTAAGCACAACATTTGAGTCCCTTGTGAGAAGAACCATGTTAGATCACATACAGCCCAACAATCAAACATGTTACTTTCTTTTTCTTTCCTTTTCTTTCTTTTTTTTCTTTTTTACAAATAGTAATATTAGGATTAAATTTTTGTATTAAATTTGCTTAACATGTGACGACTGACGGGGGATGTCGCTGCGCAACTCATGCAACAGTAGTTGTTGTGCGACAAAATAGACCCATTTCGAGATTCATTTTGATAATTTGAACCGTTCACATTTTAGAATAAATCAAGTAGAAGATGTTTGTAAAAAATCAAGTTAATCGGATATCGTTTACCCATTCATTCACTCACATTCGTATCTACAAAAATAAATAATAATTGTGATTTAAATTATTAAAATGAATACAAATATGAATGAATGAATAGGTAAGCGATATCCGATTAACTTGATGTTTAGTAGGCATGTTCTACTTGATATATTCTAAAATATGAACGATTCAGATTATCAAAATGAGTTTCGAAATAGGCTTATTTCGCCGCACAACAACTGCTACTGTGCAGGCATTCCCAATTCCTGTGATGACACCTTACATATCATCCATCCATGAAAAGTGAGATCGATTGCACAAATACAATAATTTGTAAGATAGAAAATTTGGTGCAACAATTTGGTAATGACAACATTACTCTTTTAAAAAAAAGGTAAATTATACTCATACTTCCTAAGATTTAATCTAATTACATCTTATTTTTTGACGTTTTGAAAATTACATTCATACCCTTGTGGTTAATAATCTCATTTCACAAACTTCCTACTTATATAAAAGGTAACAATTCCTAGTAAAAATAAAAAAGAAATTACATTGAAAAAAAAAAGGTAAAGCAAAAAAAAAAAAAAAAAAAAAAAAGAGTAAGCCTTCGTTTGGGAAATGGGTTGGCCTTTTGATTTTTTGGCTATTTTAACCTAGGGCTAAAAAGCCTGGGGCTAAAAAGCCTGATTTGGAAAGAGCTTTTTGACTTTTTGACTTTTTTGACTTTTTTTGTGAGAGAGGAGTGTAATGATTATGAGTTGGATTTGATGTTTTGTTTTTTGTGACTAAAATAACCTATTTTGTTTTTTGTGGCTATTTTAGCCCCTAACCCACCAAAACTAACTTCCCAAACTATGCCTAAAACAAAGTAAGAAAAGAGAATATATGAGCTCAATATTTTCATTCTGTCTAAATAATTACAATAATCGAGGAGTTAGTGTAATTTTCTAAACGTCCGGAAGTGATATATATTAAACTCAAACTTCCGTAGTAAGTGTAATTTACCCTTTAAAAAAATAAATAAAATAAAGGAAAGTAAATTACACCAATCAATAAGTCCCACCTCTCTTCTAATAAGAGACATGATAACATATTTTTTCCATCTATAATGCTAATGAATTAATAATAAAAAATTAATAAATTTTATATGAATAAGAACTTCCCAGCTCATCTTGTTTTGACAGGTCATAAGTAGCACAACTATCATAGATTTCTTGTAGACTGTTGACAGAACATGAAACATGTAATATAAAAACATTCTGCAGCTGTTGCCAATAATACATCCCCAACCAAACCTAATAGTCTCATTTCATAGAAACAATAAAAGTCAAATCACTTACCCCTGGTTTGTATTTTATGTCAATTTGATGCATATAGTTCTAATTGTATCAATTTTATTTTTGAAATTTTGACATTGTATCAATTTAGTCCAATTTTTAATAACTTTTTTGATATTAGATTGAAATCAAGAGGCAAAATAGATAGATCAGCAAGTGAAACTAAGAATCAGTAAATAATCAAAGAACAACATGCTTGCCCACCCTTCATGTCTCAAATGAATCTGGCCTCTGAATACTAGCAAACAAATGAAAACTACAATTGAATCAGTAAATAATAATCAATGAACAACATGCCTGCCCTTCCCTCATGTCTTGAATGAGCTTGGTAAATCACCGAGCAGAAATTCTTTACCCCGTTTAATTTTTAGATGAAATCATCTCACCATCTCCTCAACTCCTGATGAGCACGAAGCAGGGCCTCCTCGTGTCTGCTTTGTATTGTAAGAGTTGCATTTTACACACTTATGTGCCACAATGTGAAAATTTACCTCAGATGTCTCTCCACAGTCATTGCAGAGGATCCAAACCTAATCAGTTGCAACACCAAATTGTTAATACGCGGAATGACAAAGTCAGAGATACGCAGAGTTGCAGATTAGCTATCATATGACATCTTTACCATCTTATTTTTGTACAATTGAGGAATGGGTGTCAAAGCAACCTGAATTTTTTTTGTTGAATAGGTCAGTCGGGATACAACCCACGTTGCAAATAAATACAATTAAGGTAAGTATAGCATGATATCATTGGTATACCTCATGATCAAGCCTTTGCCACACTTGAGACATGTCGCAATATGATTTTGAACAAACGGGGCATGAATACCTGCAAACTTGAGTTAATATGAAAGGTATTTGCAGAGAAATATGAGTTTATTTAAATAAGAAAAATAATATAGTTGCTCTATTTTCTCATTTACTTACTGTAAATGTTGTTCCATCTCCTTCACGCATTGCAAGTGTATAGTGTGCCCACAAGGCAAGACTGTGATGTCTTTTGTTGTCTCAAAAAGATACTGCACAAAGAAATGGATCAACTTAGCATGAACAAATAGTTTGCAGATCTATTCTTACCCTTTAAGTTGTTTTTAAGTTTACCTCAAAACAAACAGGGCAATTATGGTGCATTGCTTTTTCTATGCAGATATGCGAATCCTTCATCAACCTTGAATAGCAACAACCTGAAGTAGAAAGAACAAATTTCCCAAAGCCATCACTTCATGAACAACTTTTTTGTAGTTTTTTTGTTATTTTTCCCAACAGAAAGAATGATAAAACAACCATGAACAACAGAAAAGAAAAGGGTACACAAATGCTATTCATATAGGTGCTTACCACATTTATTACAATGGAAAAAGTTCTCTTTGCCTCCAGTTCTGAGATTTGAAAACATAACAAAAATTAATTAGATAAAATGGAATTCATTAAGAAAGTAACTATTTAAAGTACTTTAAGATGGTGTAGGCAAATTAAAAAAATATACATATATAAAAAAATTGAATTCACTATGAAGGAAAATAAAAACTAACTAAAATGCATTATAAGGGAAGTTAGAAAAGAAAGAAACCAGAAGAAAGAAGGGGGTGCAGAAAAAATATGAACTGTAACAGAAATGAAAAGAAAATGGAATAACATGATAAAGATTTTAACCTGCAGATTCCACATTTATCACAATGGTATTGATTCTTCAAAACCTAGAGATAGAAATCGTGTTGTTTAAGCAAGTATATAATAACTAGGCTTGAATTTTTTTTTGAACAAATTCTAACAAAGAGGCTTACATCATCGTCAAAAAATTTGCATTTTGAGCAATAATACTTCCCCATGCAAACCCCACATTGGATGCAGTTTTGTTGAACCTGAAACGAGAAGGTAGAAAGCTTAAAACCCATTGCATGAATTTTACTTTATTCCCACAATTTTCTTGGCCTTTTGATAAATGTAGCCCATATGGGAAAAGCATTGCTCGCTTTCTACCTTGTTACTAGAAAAAAATAATAATTCTAGTGCTTTTACTTTTATCATTATGTAAGCTTTTCAGCGAGGAGACATACATCTTGTTCCGTGTGACACAATGAGCAGATGACCTGAATACAAATATAGAGCACACACAAATTTAGAATAGTGTTTGAATTCTATGTTATAATCACTACAAACATTAAGTATATATGTAAAAATAAATAAATAAATAAAAAAGAAACCCGGGTTGCAAAATATGCAGAAAAAGATATGAAAAGTAACCAAGGAAAGAAACAAGAGATGGTTGATGAAACCTTATCCACAGGGAGTTGCATCTTATGATTTAATTTAATCCATATCGTTTCCAGGCAAAACTACATTTTCAAAGACCAAATGTTGTATCACAGAATCCATGGGATCCCAAAATAGCCCCAAAAAATAAGATTCCCATTTTCAGCACACCACCATTCCCATTCT